TCGCTCTGGTGGTAAAGCACACGAACACGGCAATATAACCCTTAAAGGCGCGTCGGTCCCGGCCCCGCGAAGCAGTCAACGAGACCGGCCCGGCGTAGTCCACTCCGGCGACGTTAAATGGCGCCGTGGGGACGACACGGTCCCTAGGCAAAGGAGCCATCATTGGTTGCATGGGTCGCGCCTGATGCCGAGTACAGACGACGCAGCGGTGGAGCAGCCCTCTGACAAAGGCTCGACCGGCTGGCACCCAGAAACGCTCGCGCAGCGTGGCCAGCGTGAGCTGGGTACCCCCATGGAGCGTGCGCTCGTGGATATCCCTAACAAGTAAGGTCGTGAAGTGTGATTGTCGGGGCAGGACAATTGGGCAACGCTCGTCTACCGGCAGTTGGGCGGATGCCAGCCGGCCGCCCACTCGTAACAATCCTTCTTGATCCAGTACCGGGCACAGTGTCCGCAACGAGCTGTCGCGGGGAAGGCGCAAGCCGCTCTGTGCGCAACGTCTCTCGTGGTCGAAGAATCCCTCCTGGCTCAGCCGTATAAGGCGTATCTCCGCGCGTCGGAGCTCGGAGGCAGTCAGTCCTACCGCAGAGCCGGCGCTCCTCGTGACTACGCGGAGCACATAGGCCATTACGTGAAGGGCCCTCCGATATGAGGACGCCCTTATCAACCCGTCCCACTCAGGTAAGGCCACCGTGGCGGCGTGCACGACGCGGCGTTCCTCCGGCGCCGTCATCAACGGGGGCTCCCGTTTTGGCCAACGGTCCTCCGGGAGCAACAGCCACGTGGGACCCCCCCACCATATGTCGTGGCTGCGCAGTGCTGCTGGCGACAGTCCACTGGTGGCGGCATCCGCTGGATTGTCTACCGTCGATACATGACCCCAACGGGCACCCGGAATCATTTCGTGTATCGCCCCGACGCGATTGGCAACAAAGGAGCTCCAACGGGACGGGTGGCCGCGGATCCACGCAAGGGCCACGGTAGAGTCCGTCCAGCAGCACACCTTCGGTGCCACCCGGGCACAGCATGAAGGACGAAGTGGATGGCCCGCGCCAGCAAGTGCGCACCGCACAACTCCAAACGGGGCAGCGTGACCCGTCTAACTGGGGACACCCGGGTCTTTGGGAACAGCAAGCTCGCTGCCGCCGGCCCGTCCCGGGGCCTCGTCACGAGGTATATTGCCGCCGCGTAGGCTCTCTCGGAGGCGTCGGAGAATCCGTGTAACTCCGCCTCAATGTTGGGAGACCAACCGACCCAGCGAGGTATTCGGATCGCGTGGAGATCCGCCAGCTCCCCGCGTAACAATTGCCACCGCTCCACCATGGTGGGAGATAAAGGTTGATTCCAGTCAACCCCGGCCAACCACAACTCCTGGAGGAGTATTTTGCCTCGAACGATGACCGGGCTGATCCATCCCATGGGGTCGAACAAGCGCGCGGTGGTCGACAGGATCCCGCGTTTCGTCAACGGACTTGACTCCTCCTGGTTCACCGCGTAGCACAGAGAGTCGGGCAGCGGCAACCAGTGGACTCCGAGGATAGGAGCTCCGACCGCATCTCTGTCGCGTATCTGTATCAGCGGCTCTCGATCCTCCTCGCATACGGACTCCAGTACAACCGCCGAGTTGGAGGCCCATTTTCGGAGGCTGAAGCCGCCCGCCCTCAGAAGGTTTATGAGCTCCCTTTGGAGAGCCTGAGCATCGGCCTCGCTATCCGCTCCCGCCAGGATGTCGTCCACGTAAGTGTTTGCGCGGATGAGTTCTGCAGCTCGAGGCCACGCGTTCTGCTCATCCTGAGCGAGCTGTCGCAGGACCCGAAGGGCCAGGTACGGAGCACTGGCCGTCCTGTACGTGACCGTGTTGAGGCGGTAGGCGAGGATCGGATCGGAGGGGCTCCTGCGTCACAGTATCCGCTGGAGAGATAGATCCCGAGCGTGCACGAGGATCTGCCGGAACATCTTCTCAATGTCGGCCGCAAAGGCCACTCGATGGAGACGCCAGGCAAGGAAAACACTACGCAGATCGCACTGCAGTCGAGGTCCCACATGCAGCAGATCATTCAGTGAACGGCCCGAGGCGGAGGGTTGCGAGGCGTTGAATACGACTCGAATCTTTAGGGGCCGGTCCGATGTTTTCACGACCGCGTGGTGCGGGATACAGAACTGTGCCTCCCCTGGAACGGACTGAGCAGGAGTCATGTGTCCTAGCCGCTCATACTCGTCCATAAAGTGGATGTACGCAGCCCGTAATTCCGGCTGGGTCGCGAGACGACGCTCCAGACGCAGAAGTGCCGCCCGCGCTATTCGCTCTGAGTCGCCTAACTCGAGTCGAGGGTCCGCTCGCAGCGGTAGGCGCACCATGTAACGCCCGTCCTCGGTTCGGCCATACGTGTCCCGGAAGATTTCCTCGCACGCCAACTCCGCCTGGGTCAACATGGAAGTGGGAGGTAGTTGTTCCACTTCCCAAAAACGTCGCAGCTGGGAACCGAGCTCGTCGTTTGCACTCCGCAGCATGTGGCAGTGGGCCCGAACCGTCCCGGACTCCCCGCCCAAGGAGCCTATCAGGATCCATCCTAGGCTGGTGGACTGGGCAATGGGCGCGTCAACCTCACCCCCCGTCGCAACTCGGGCCTTATAATACTGGCGTAGATGTCGGCCCCGAGAACCGCGTCAATGCGGGACAGGCCCGTGACGTCGTCTGCGAGCGACAGACCCTCCAGATGCGTCCAGTTACGGGGTATGGACGTGAGTGGTGGTTTATACGCCGTCAACCTCGGAAGCACCAACGCCTCAAGAGGTAGTTTGCACTCTTCTCCCTGAGACAATGACAGACGAAGGGTTGTCATGGCGCGCACCACCTGAGACGGGGTTTCCGCCGCGCCCGCCAGTTCCATGCGCACAGCTCGCCGACCAGCCCGGAGTCGCTGGACAACGGATTCCGACACCAGATTGACCTCTGCCCCTGTATCGATGAGAGCCCTGACTATGGTCGAACGACCGTTGGAGGCCGAGAGACGCACGCGCGCAGTCGCCAACAAGGCGCGTCTAGGAGCCCGACGCCAATTACGCCTCACGGAGGTGGCCGAGACGGTGGCGGAGATGGTGGCACCTGGGGTGGATGAGCCCGTGTTTTCTTCCTCGCGGTGGATGAGGGTATGATGCGGCTGACCGCACTCCCGACAACGGCGGCCCGAGAAACACTGGCTCGCCTGGTGTTGAGGTGACAAGCAATTGTAACAGAGTCCCCAACCTATCACTCGTTCTCGGCGTACCTTTGCTGCCATTCGTTTAAATGCCGCACAGTCCCAAAGCGGGTGGTTCCCCCGGCAGTGCGCACACGGCCTACGCGTGGCCTCCGCCACGTGGTGCGTGCGGACGCTGTGTCCACGTTTGTTCGCGGATCCCGGAAGGAGGGCACCTCGGCCTCCGTCAGTGGAGGAGCGAGGGCCTCCGTCGACCGCCTCTAGCTCGCGGAGACGAGACGCAAGAAAGTCCACCAAGGCCTCCCATGAGACCGGCTCGCGCTCTCTATTTGTCGCCTTCTCCCAGTCGCGACGCGAGGCCGCCTCCAAACGACCGACGGTTCGATTGACGAACACGTCGTCCCAAGTTTCCACCGGCCGATCCAACTGGCGGAGAGACGACCGTATTTCCGCGGTGCGGTCAAGTAGACGCCGCAGCTCCGCGGCCAACTCCTGCTTCATAGGTCCCAAGTCGAAGAACGAATTCAAGTATGCGTTGACCAGGCGGCGCGTATTGTCGTATCGCTCGCACAATGCGCTCTATGCATCTCGAAATCCGTCGTTGGTAACCGGATAATTGCGCAAGAGTTGCTCAGGCTCTCGAGTAACGTGCTGCTTCAGGTAGTGCAGTATGTGTACGTCCTGCAACGCTGTGTTATTCCCAACGAGGGATTTAAACATATCCCGGAATGATCGCCATTGATCGAAGTCGCCGTTGAACGTGGGAATCGGGATCCGCGGGAGCGGCAATTCGGGAACGGTCGCCTGCGGGGGGCGCGCTGTCTCCTCCGCCGCACCGCCCGCCCTGGAACCAGTGAACGCCTCCATCAGGGTACGAAGCTCCATTTTGCGGAGCATGTATACTTCAGAGGTGTCTTCGTAGCTGCCTCGCTTGATGTAGTCGGAGGAGCGTATCACCTCGTCCCGAGACGTCCGGATGATAGCATAGTCGCGCTCGTACTGAGACCAGTATGAATCCAGGATATGGAGTCGGTTCTCCAAGCCAATTAGCGATTTGTCTTCGCCATTCTTCTTAGCGTTGACGAGTATACGCAATATGTAGCCCTGTCGATCGGTCTGAAGGACGATCAGCCCCAGTAACTGATCGCGATCCATTTTGATAGCCGAGTCGAGAGAATCACTTGTACTGGCGATTCGCGGTGACGAGAAGATCACCCTCTGCATCCGGCTCGAAGGACCAAATGTTTCGAACGGCCCGAGAGTGGAGAGCGGCCGGTTCGTTATGCGGGATGCGGATGGATGTCCGCTCGCCGTGTGGTGACCGCGGTCTTCGTCGCAAGCAGTCCGCTATCCAGCGGCCACGTAAGATGACGTGGGGTGCAAATGATTCGCGACGTTATTCGGCGACGGGAGTCTTTGGCTC